TTCTAAGCTCCTGTTCTCAGGCCAGGTTTGCCTTACTCATGCATTTACTTCCCAGGTCTTAGAGACGAACAGCTATCAGAGGTGGCCCTCAGGGCAGGTCCTCAGGGGAGGCCTTCAAGGGAGGCATACCCTTGATGTCCCTTGAGGATTGCCCTATCCAGATTTTGTATGTTTTTTTTTTGTTGTTGTTGTTTGCTTTTTGGGTCACACCTGGCAGTGCACAGTGGTTAATCCTGGCTCATGCATTCAGGAATTTCTTCTGGCGGTGCTGGGGGACCATTTGGGATGCTGGGAATTGAACCTGGGTTGGCTGCATACAAGGCAAACTCCCTACCTACTATGCTATCGCTCCAGCCCCTTGTCAGTATGTTTCAACCAAATTATTGTGTGTGCTTGTGTGTGTGTTTGGAGGGTTCTCAGGGGTTAGTCCTGGTTCTGCTCTGAGAATTTACTCTCTGTGGGCTCAGGGGACCAGTGGGATGCTGGGGATGGAACCTGGGTAGGCAGTTTGCAGGGCAAGTGCTCTACCAGCTGCACTCTCTAGGTTTCCCTTTTTTCTTTTTTTAAAGTTTATTTAAATAAATATTTATCTATTTATTTGCTTTTTGGGTCATACCCGGCAATGCACAGGGGTTACTCCTGGCTCTGCACTCAGGAATTATTCCTGGCAGTGCTCAGGGGACCATATGGGATGCTGGGAATCCAACCTGGGTAGACCAGGTGCAAGGCAAATGCCCTACCCACTGTGCTATCACTCCAGCCCCCTCAGTTCCCCTTTTGACCACATTCTGTAGCACCTCTTATGTATTGCCTTTCTCTTCCTCCCCTCTCCCCCACCCCGGCATAAAAAGTAAAGCCTTTCCTTGGGGATGGGGCACAGACAGGGAAGGCTTTCTGATGGGAGCCACATATAAATCCTGGTTCTGAGGGAGCAGGATCAGCCCAGCCCCATGGGACTCTGAGCCCAGGCTTTGCAGAAGGGGGTGGGTGTGGTGTGGGGGCTGGAGAGGTGGGGACGTTGTGGGATGGGACAGCGGGATCCTTCTCAGGCCTGGGCTTAAGAGACTTGCTCTGACCCAGAGCTGGAGAAATAGGCCAGGTGGGGCGACCTGGGCCCAAGGGCAGATGTGGGGGTGGGATGTGCCACTGTCTAGGGTCACAAGGTGACCAGGCCAGTGGTGCCTTAGCAGCATGCGGGGAGATTAGAGAAGAGGAGGAGAGAGAAGCGACAGTGCAGGCCCCCAACCCCTTGATAGGTGTCAGTGCATCATCCCTGAGGTTGTGCAGCAGGACTGAAGCCTGGGTGTCGAAACCCAGCCAGCTGGCAGGAGAAGGGGAGTCCCTGAAGCCTCCGGAAGGGAGGGGGCATGTCTGTCCAAGGTGGCTAACCCCACCTGTCCCTTGTGACCCCCCCCGAGCCCCATGTGGGGTGAGGGAGTGAGCACCCAGGGGCTCAGAGGTCTGTCTCTCTGCCGGGTGCACCCGAAGCAGGGCCAGGCAGGAACCTGGGTCTGACCCCCTGAGAGCCAGGCCAGGCCCCCGGGGCACACGCAGATGCCGGCGGGTGCCACACCTGTCTGGGAGCTGAGAGCTACAGCCTGGACTGGTCAGAACCACCCTGGGCCGGCCATCCTGGGGCTGCTGACGCCAGGCCCAGGCGAGCAAGTTCATTACTAGGTAATGAGCTCATTAGGGCTCCGGCAAGGACCTGGCGGGCTAGCGCACTGCCCCCCGCAGAGCCACCTGGCCCAGGACAGTTCCCAGGGGCCACCTGAGCTGCCCGAACCCCAGGAGGCCAGGACACACTTCCAGGGTGAGCAGGACAGTGGTGTTAAGGAGCAAGGGGTGCCCTGGAAGTCCAGGGGTTTCTGGGTGCTGGTGGAAAGAGCCGGGCTCAGGGGTCTTGGAGACAGCTCTCCCAGTGGAGACAGGCTGTACTCTCTCCGCCAGGCCTGCCGGTCCCTGCTCCTGCCGGCCTTTCTCTCATGGGCAAACCCCATGGTCTTCCAGCCAGCAAGGACACCCTGGTGGGCAGGGAAATGGGCGAGGGAACGAGACGCCCATTGAGGCAGGACAAGGTGGCCCAGGGCAGACCTGCCTGGCACTGCCCATAGAGGCCCACTGTGCAGCCGGAACTTGGGGCGACAGACATGCCCTTCCCCACAGCCCAGCCAAGCTGGCCTGGCTTGCACTCCGGGGCCCGTGCCAGCTCCCCTGGTGGGCAGCGGTGTATGGGTGCTCTGTGGACGTCAGGGCCCACCTGGCTAGGTGCAGCATGCAGAACCCGTGGGCTGTGCAGAGCTCCTGACCCGCCTCAGGCTCCTGCCTGGCTTGTCCCTGCCCCAGATCTTTGGGGATCGCGCCCTGCCCCTCAGCAAAAGCCTCCTTCTCTGGGAACCAGGAAGGACTGGAGGTGATGTGCTAGAGGAGGCAAAGGCCTCTGCGCCCCCATGTCTCCCAAGGGGGCAGGGACTGTCCAGACAGACTCCTCGGAGATGGCGAAGCCAGTCATGCCTGCTGCTCCCTCCACAAGCCCCCAAAGTCCCACGCACAGGCAGCACCTGGCTGTGCTCACCCAGCTCTCCCAGGAGACAGGGCGGACTGAAGGGCAACAGTGAGGGCGCTGGTTGTGAGTTAATGAGGGGGCAGCATGTGCTGGTCTGAGCAGATCGGGCTGGACAGTCCCCAGAGCAGGAGGCTGCCCAGAGACCTCCGCACCCCGACAGCTTGTCCTTGTCCTTGCCCTGTCCCTCGGAGGGGTGCACACCCTCTCTGCTCTTCCCAGTCTCCCTGCAACCTAGTCTTTTTTTTTTTTTTTGCTTTTTTTGGGTCACACCCAGTGATGCTCAGGTTACTCCTGGCACTACACTCAGGAATTACACCTGGCGGTGCTCAGGGGACCATATGGGATGCTGGGAATCGAACCCGGGTCGGCGGTGTGCAAGGCAAATGCTCTACCCCCTATACTATCACTCCTTCCCCCGCAACCTACTGTGGATCCTCATGTGTGGGCTGAGGAGCCCGTTCTCTGTTGCCCGTCTCCAGCACCTCGGTGGCCCTTCTCAGGACCCTTGGAGCCCCACCCTGCACTAGCCTTCACTCTCTCCTTGTCCAGGGCTCCCACGCCCTCTGTGCCCCCACCGACTGTGACCCCCCATATCTACAGTCTCTTAACTGCAGGGACTTTCGCGTGAAGACACCCCTGCCCCCAGTGGCCTTGACAGCAAGACACAAACTTGCCACCTCAATCTCTTCCAGGCCCAGCCCTGCCTCACCCACAGCTGCTGGAAGCAAAAGTGGGCTATCTGCCGCCCACCTGGGCCCCTTCATTTCACCTGCAAACACGGGCAGGGCAGAGCCCCTGGCTCACAGCTCCGGCGGGCGGAAGGAATCCAAGGTTCTCTAGACAGCTTTCTTGCAATTACTGGGAGCGGGTCAGGGGCTAGTTAACGAGGCTCCAGGGATCAGTAGAGCCAGATGCTGGAGGTCCCAGAGGGGTAGGTGACTCAGCAGGAACCGAGGGGTCTGAGGCTTGACAGAGGACCAAGTTCTCACACCTCAGACAGGTGCAATGAATGAATGGAGGGTCTCATGTCTCGACAGTGGCCGGGGCCAGGGATGCAGGGAACTGGGTCAACAGCCACCCCCACCCCCAGCTCTCTCTCTCTCTCACACACACATACACAGACATGCACGCACAGGCGCACACACAGGCACCCACACACATGTGCAAAGGCATGCACACATGTGCTCACATACATGTACACACATGCTAGCAGTGCACGCACGTGCACTAGCATGCACACACCAGGCACACATAGATACACATATGTACACACATACACATGCGCATATGTGTGTACACACAGCTGCATAAGGTGAAGCCCCCAGGGGTCCAGGGGACATGGATCCCAGTGGCTGTCTTACCATCTCCCCTCCTGACCCAGCTTTGTGGGGAGGCCCCAAGGAACCCAGAGTCCTAACTAGCCTCTGGGGCACAGGGAGAACAACACGCTGGGTGAGGGGACACAGCCCTCCTCAAGGACCAGAGCACAGTGCCCCAGGGAAGCACTGAGACAAGATGGGTGGGTGAGGGGCTCCCACAGAAGGGGACAGCACAGACACCGAAGCTTAAACTGAGTCTGGGGGGCAGACTCAGACGGGGACCCCTACTGTGGATCCGGATGGACATAGAACAGAGACCATCTTATTGCCACTGTGGGGTGGGGGGGGGAGGGGGAGGGACCTGAATTCCCTGCTAAGGAGTGGAGTCGGTCAGGAAGTGGGTTTTGTAAAAATGGTGTGAGCGGGACTGGAGCAATAGTACAGCAGGTAAGGTGCTTGCCTTGCGCGCGACCGAGGTTCAATCCCCAGCATCCCACATGGTCCCTCAGTGTTCCTGAGTGCAGAGTCAGAAGTAACCCCTGAGCACCTGCAAAACAAGTGGGGTGAGTGGCAGTACTAGGCAGTGGGTGGGGAAGGTGTATTCTAGGTGGAAGGTATGGATGGCCTATGCCAAGCCCCAGGGCTGGGGGACCGGATTGGAGGTGGCTAAAGGCCTGGTCGGGGCTTCCACTGTCCCAGTCCGGGTCTCAGTAGCGGGCGCGCTGGGCAGTGAGGAAGGGTGGGGTTCATAGGCTGCCCAGTCCCCAGCCGGCGATGCGCAGACAGCTGTGACGGCGGCTCCTGACTGCTTTGAGCCTGGGTTTCTTCACCCCGTGGCCTCGGCCCGGAAGGCGCTCGGAGGCGGCTGCGACCCACTGGCTGCGAGGTCCCCGCGGGCAAGCGCCGTGCACCGAAACGTGTCGACTTCGCCCCCGAGGGCCCCATCCAGTCCCCAGCCCATCCCTGCAGGGCTTCCCCGGGTCCCAGGCCTCGTGCCCGGGAGGCCACGGCCGTTCCCACGGCGCGTCTCCCGGGCCCCCGCGGTCGCTAGGCTGCGGACGGCGGCAGCGGCGGCGGCGGCGGCCCTGCAGGTGGACGCGGCGGCGGCGGAGCGGATGGCGACGGAGCCCGGGCGCCAGTGGGTGCAGGCGCGCGGCGCCTACGGGGCGAGCGAGGCGCTGCGGCGCGCCGCGGGCCGCCGGCGGGAGCCCGGGCCGCAGAGCAACGGGCCGGGCCCGGAGGAGGCGCGCGCCCCGGGCCGCCTGGCTCGCCTGCGGGGCCAGCTGCGCGCCGAGGCGGCGGCGCGGGCCGACGCGCCCAAGCTGCTGCGCGTGGTGGAGCGCGCGGGCCAGGGGCCGGCGGAGCGGGCGGACGCGCGCAGCCGCGACTCGGTGTGCTCGGTGTGCGGGGAGCCGCGCGGCGGGGCCACCTACCCGGCGGGCGTGCTGGAGGTGAGCGAGCGGCGGCTGCAGGAGGGCCTGGCAGCCGTGCGCGCCGAGCTGAGCGCCGGGCTCGAGGCGCTGCGCGCCGAGCTGCGCGCCGAGCTGGACGCCCTGCGCGCGCTGCTGCCCTCGCCGCCCGCCCGCCGGGAGCCCCGCGCCGGCCCGCGCCCCGCGCCCCGCGGCCCCGCGCTGCTGCGGGCGCTCGGCACCGTGAACGCGCTGGCGGCCGCCCCGAGGCCCGCGGACGACGCGCCCGACGGCGCCCCCGACGGCGCCGCCGCCCGGGCTCCGGCGCGGAAGAACTTCAAGAAGACGCCGGTGCCCGCCGCGGCCCCGCAGGCCCAAGGCGGCGGGGACTGAGCTCGCGGCCACCGGCAGCACGGGCTCTCTCACGCTCGGTAAAGGACGAACGCCTTGTTCCGCGGCGGGGGCCTTGCCCTGGGGACTGGACTGGACGGTATGCATGCGCTCAGGGGGCGGGCGAACCGAGCCGCCTCTGGGCCTGGAGCTGGGCAAGGGTGCGAACTGCGCCGGGGAGGCAGCTGCAAGACCCCACGGCCTCCAGGGAGGGGTGGTCTCTAAAAAGGGTCAGCGTGGCCTCCTGCCACTGAAATGATGCACACTCCAGTCACACAGAGCTCGGAGCACATGTCCGCCTGGACACAGCGTCTCCCCAAGGGACAGCCACACTCTGCCCTAATGGACACAGCCCCACACGGCCTGTAGTGCTTGTGCCGGTCAGCCCTGGCCGCCAGGAACTGCACTTCCAGGACATGAACCTCCAGCCAGGGGCGCCTGGACTCACTCGACTTTGCTTTGACTGCAACCAAGGACACTTACCTCAAGGACAGTTAGGCTCACCGCAGTCACCTGCACCCCGTGTCTTTCCAGGATGTGTCACTGTCCACAGGTTCACTTCCCAGGGCCACCTGCTATGCTCCCTCCCTTCAGCTTTTCACCAGCCTGTCCTGTCCCCCACCACCTGCCTTCCCTGAGTCCTTGGGAGAAACTAGCTATAGTTCCTGTTGAATCCTGCGGACTCCTGGCCCTTGGGCACTTGCTTTTTAAATAAAATGTCATCTTTGGTGTTAACTTTTTGTTTTTTATGGGGGTCGGGCTTAGTCCTAGTTCTGTGCTCAGGGATCACTCCTGGCGGGCTTGGGGGACCATGTGGGGTGTCAGGGATGGAACCCCTAAGCTCTGCTAGCTGTTCTCTTCCTTCCGAACTAGGAATTTTCATGTAATATTTAGGGATCTTGACGGGGGTGGGTCGTCTGGAACTGGCTGTAGTGGGGAGGCAGAGGGGGACTCAGGGTCCCTCCCCCACTGGTATGGACGGACGTTGAGGCCCAGCCACGGAAGGCCAAGGTCACTGTACAGTTTATTGTGGGCAGGAAGTCAGTCTGGCCCCAAGGGGCCCTGCCAGAGCCCCAGGCTGAGCCCCAGGCCCAGCAAAGCTCTGCACACAAGGGCCTGGGCGGAGGCAGGGCTGGGCACTGTGGCTGGGATGTGAATTCCTGGGGAGGCAGAGACCCTGCGTCCCCCGAGCGGCTGCTGGGGGCGGAAGTTCTCTGTGAACCGTAAGGGGTGCGAACCCTTGCGGCCAGTCAGGCGCACACTCTGGAACTGGGCCACCTGAGAAGGGGCAAAGGTGGATTATGGGAGGGGCTGGGAGAGAGGGAGGAGGGCGGGGCAGCCCTGGGGTGAGGGGTCAGGCTCCCACCTGCAGGTGCCCAATGGGCACTGCATCCTCAAGCACTGTCCAGAGCACCGTCGGCTGGCAGCCAGGCGTGGTCAGGGACCCTGAGTAGCGGAAGTAACGCAAGTGATGCGAGGCACTAGGCAGCAGCGAGGCCAGCCGGAAGGTGGACACCAGATCCACAGAAGTCCCTGGGAGGGACAAGACAGGACTGACATCTGGGCCCTCCCCACCCCGGTGCCCAGGTGCTCCTGATCCATCTGGTGCCCACCCAGTGCCCTCAGTGGCCACCCTCGGGGGTCCCTCACCAGGCTCGGACACATTCTTCAGCTGGGACACCAGGGCCGAGAAGTTGGCATTGTCTGAAGCCTGCTCCTGGAGAGGGGGCAGCCGGGAAGGAGGGTGTGGAGTTGGGGCGAGGAGCCTAAGGAGGGGGTCTCTAGAGGGAGGCCTGCGAGGTATGCTGGGGCATGGTCATCCCAACCCCTGTAGGCCCATGGCCTCCCATAGAGCCCCTCTTTTTTTGGTTCTGGGGCCACACCTAGCAATTCTCAGGGGTTACTCCTGGCTCTGCCCTCAGGAATGACTCCTGGTGGTGCTCAGGGGACCATGTAGGATGCTGGAGATTGAATCCTGGCCGGCTGCATGCAAGGTAAGCACTTACCCACTGGACTATCTCTCCGTCCCCCCAGAGCCCTGCAAATCCACTAATCCCTATAGACCTCCTAACTGCCCCCAGCCCACTGGCTCACGTGTCCCTCCCACACCCCTATGGTCCCTTTCTAGGAGACACAGGCGTCACAGCCCTTCCCTTACCGCCAGTAGCACTGCCAGCACTGCCAGCCCATCAGGGTGACCCAGGGCCTCCCCCAGGCTCTGGTACCGCGTGTTCATATGCAACACATGCATCTGAGGAGGGACAGACCAAGGCAGGGTCCAGCCATGCCACCCAGGCTCCTTGGGCACCCATGCGGCCCTGGCACTCCACCCCACTGCCCAGCTCACCTCCATAGAGTGGCGCTGCCCGCCTAGGCTGTGTTCGGAGCCTGAGCGCCCGGGGCGCCCCCAGTGGAAGTGCAGCTGCAGAGTGCGGTAGGCTGGCCCTGGCAGCCCAGCGCCCCGCATGCCCAGGAGGCTCTGGGGGCCAGCATCCATGTGGAGAAGCACTGGAGGCGGGGAAGAGTGTGGGATGTGCTCTCGGCTCTGACCCGCCCCAGACCAGAGCAGAGGTTTCCCCCACTCCCATGCCCTTGCCAAACGCTCCCTGCCTGGTCCTCTGGGGTGGGCTTTCTGCGCCTGGGGCAGGCTGTCGGGCTCAGTGTGTGCAGAGGCCCGATCCCCAAGGTGCTGTCTACTGGGGGTTCAATCTCTCTGTTGGAGGTCAATGACTTCTCTCTTTGGAAGTCTCTGGCTCTGAAATGGTCCCATCTCCTGCGGGGGGCCTGACTCTGGGCAGACAGCAGCATCCCCTTCCCCATGAGGATTCCCTGCTTGGGTCTATTGGGGGGTTCCTGACCTGTGTGGCCGTTGTTCTCCAGGGTCCAGGGTCCTGGAGGTGCCGAGTCATAGCCCTGGAAGATGAGGGGCCCCAGGGTTGGGTCCCGCTGCACCAAGTGAAGGTCGATATTGATGGGGGACTGTGCTGGGCCCCCGCAGGCAGGGGCCACCTCCTTCCAGTGGGTGGGACCTGAGGGGACAGGTCTTGGGACATTAGGGGCATGGAGACACCTTGGGGGTGCAGAGGAATGGTTCTTTCCCCCAACAAACACACCCAGAGAAGCACCGGGCCTCAGAAAGCTCCTCCCTGCTGTCTCCACACACACACACGGTCACCCCACCCCCAACCTGGCCTGGCAGTTTTGGAAACATAGGCAGGCACTGCCCGTCCTCAGCACATGGTCACCCCCTTGGCAGACTGTCCCCAAGGAGGGCGGCAGGGTCTCTGGAGATATGGGGACATGCCCTCCCGGGGCCCTGCGACACCTGCTCACACCCAGGCCACCCCCCTCTCCCTGCAATTAGCAGTTGGAAACCACAGCAGACAGTGGCAGAGGGACAGTCACACAGAGTGCCTGGTTCCTCACCACTGCAATGACAGGCACTTATGTGGCAGCCACGGGAGTGACATACAGACACGGGAGGGGCCCCAGACACACGGACCCATGCCACCACCTCTCACCCCCGTCCTCACCACACTTTGGATCCTGGGCATCGTAGCACCAGACACCTGTGGACAGGAGACAGCAGGCAGCGGACTGAGTGAGAGCCACAGGGCTCCATCCCCGCCAGGGGCCGAGAATGCAAAGTGGGAGGCTATGCAGAGCCCACATGACTGTCTCCACAGCCCGCTACCTCCATCCCCCGAAACGACAGGATGTGAGAAGGGGAAGCAGCCAGGCAGGGCAGAGTGGAGATGGGATGGCAGAGCCCGAGCGCTCACCGTTGGAGTCCGTGCACACGGCCAGAGGCACCGTGAGGGCTAGTGCAAGCCCCGCACCCCACATGCTGCCGCCTTGGCCAGCTGCAACCAGCAGGCAAGTGGCAGAGGCCAGTGGCGTGAGGCGGCCGGCAAGGGCGCTTTTATTGGCCGGGGGCAGGGCTATATCCTATGGGCTTCCAGGCTGGCCAAGGGGGTGGCACCCAGGAAAGGCCATCCCGGGGTGGGAAATGAGAGCTGACTGGGGGGGGGGGGGGGCGGTACTGTGTGCCAGCTGCAGCCTTGGGCACTTCCCCCAAGCGCATGTGGAGTCTCCAATTGGTCACAAGGAGGCGGTGTGGAGGAGATCGTGTGTCACTGTGCTCATTTGAGGAGGAAACGGAAGCTGGGGACCCTGAGCAACTGCCAAGGCCACTTTTAAGGATGGAACTGCCAGAGGGGTGTCACCGTGACAGGTGGGGCTGGGGTAACCTTTCCCCTCTGCTGCCCACCTGGCAACCCAGAGAGCACAGCTTACCCTCCTGCCAGTGTGCTCACCACCACCCCCCGACCCAACTAGAGGTCAGGTGGAAGACCCTTCCTCTGTGCACGCTTCCCCCAGAGTGCCCACACAGGACCCTCTGCCCGAGCTGGTCTCTGCAGTAGCTCCAGGGCCTCTGGTGCCCAGTGAACCCAAGCGCTGGCCAGGGCCTTTGTGCCTCCGGAAAATGAACTTTGGTGGCCATTGTCAGGTGTCGGATCTGGAAAGCTCTGAGGTGTGTGTCTTTGGTCTGGCCAGTAGGTGGATTGACGTGGGGGTTCTGCAACTGCACCCCTGCAGTCTTGCCTCACACTGGGAGCAAGTGTGGGTGCTGTCCACGGTGCTGATGGCACCCAAAGGCCCCAAGCAAGTGTGATGCCTTGGATGTGCCTAGAGACTAAGGTGGCTACCCCCTGGAAGCATCTCCCCTGCCAATGGATCGCCAGCCCCTTCTTCATTTTGGGGCCTATCCGGCAATACTGAAGGGTTACTCCTGGCTCTGCACTCAGAGGTCACTCCTGGCAGTGCTCAGGGGGTCATAAGGGATGCCCAGGCTCATATCAGCAGTAAGGGCGAAACTGACGCCATGATAGGGGGCAAAAATCAGCAAACTCGCTAGGCTTCAGGTTCCTTTCCTGGAACTGAAACAGTTTCAGTTTCCCCTTGAATCAAACAATGTGTAACTAGCCAACTTGAACCCACCAGGAAAGTTCCTGGGCCCAGCAAGTGGGCTCAATCAATCACAACATGCCAGAAACCATAGAGAATATACCCAGCAACCACAAGCCTGAGTCCAACACAGACCCTGCTTGCCAAACACACTTATTTGGGAACTAAGTAAGAGTTTCCTGAAACAATAAGCCATGTATTGCTTATGTAATCAAACCCTATATAAGCTGCTTGCTGCTTGAGGTCGGGGTCGCTATTTGTGGGTTGACCCCAGTATACTAGAATAAAACTCCTGCTTTTGCATTATCGTGTTCATGTCTCTGGGCGTCTCGTCACTTGGGAACCCAGATTTCCGGGCCTAACAGCCAAATGCAAAAAAGCACCTTGCCTTCTGTGCTCTCTCCAGCCCCCACCATCCCATCCCCTTAACGGAATCCCTGCCCGGCAGCTGAGCAGCCGTGGGGAGAGCATGGCCAGGAGGCTTCGGTAGGGAGCATGTGGAGGCAGGAGGAGACTGAAAGGTCCACTGCAGAAGAGATTGTGTCCAGTCGTGTCTGCCCTGTATCTCTCCACTGAGCCCCCCAGCCTGGGTCCCACCAAGAACTGAGCACAAATTCCAGAACACAAATTTATTTGGCATTTGGATGAAATGGTTCTCACAGCATCTTAAGAATTAGTGTCAACCCAACCAAAAATAAACCCCAAACTAAAACCCCTCTAAGTGAAGGAAAACAGACAGAAAAGAACAGGCTTCGAGACAATGTACATTATCTGCCCCACCTCCCCGGCAGGGCCTGGGCTCTAGTGTTCCGGAGTCTGCCTCTCCCAGGAGCCAGGGTGGGCTTGGGCAGGGACTTGGCCAGACCATTGGAGTGTCACCACCTCACCAAGGGGGCTGGTGAGGATGGGGGCAAGGACTGGGTGGCAACACGCTCAGGCCCTAGCTCTCCCCTCAAAGCCCAGGCCCCAGGGCACACATGCCTGCAGAAGTCAGCCAGGATGGCAGCAGGCCCTCCTGCCACAGTCCCCTTCCTCGGTGCCTCTTTTGTGGCCCCTGGCCTCACAGTCCTTGGGTCCGGTCCCCAATTTTCCAGCCCCACAAGGCTGCCAGCTGCCTTGCCCTGTAATCACAGTTCTGGGCTGGGCCAGGGCCTCTGGGGCTGGCGCTATGTCAGACTCAGGCCCTCTGGGGCTCCGTGAAGCACACTCCGGGCCCCACCAGGCCCTTACTGCCGACCTAGGACTGCCCTCGCCCGTGTGTTCCGCTTCCTGCCTCATCCGCAGCTGCCTGTGTGACACTCGCACGCCCAGGGACACCATCCTCAAAGCAGTGTCAGCTCTGTGGGCAAGGGCAGTGCTGGTATCCTGGAGCAGACTGACGTCACACAGCAAACTGAAGCTGCCAAAGTCCGGGACACAGCCTGCCGCAGCAGCCCAGGTAAAGCTGGGGGCCTGCGCTCGGGGGATGGGGGGGGGGGCGCAGGCGTAGGTCCTGCCCTGCCATGGTGCTGCCCGGCAGCGGGCGCCTGCTTCAGTGCCGGCGCCTATGTTCCTGTGTACCGCCACCATCTGCAAACACTTGGACACACACACACAGACACACACACACACACACACGCACGCATACACACGCGCGTGTGTACACACACGCACAGGAGGCAGACATTCAACGTAGAAAAGATATGGATGTGCTCAAAATCGCACAGAACCCGCTTCGTCTCCTAACCTCAGAACCGCTCAGAGCCCTGTGTGCTGAGATAGTCCCACCGCCCCGAAGCGGGTGGTTGGGGTGCTCGGGCAAAAGGCCCCAAGCTGCAGAGAACCAGGAGGTGGCACATGGCTGTGGATATGCAAGTGGCCTTTCAGGGGTGGACAGGGCCTGGGATGTGGACCTCTCCATAAAGAATCGACCCTTTATGGCACAAATAAGGTGGGGGTTTGGGGGGGCAGGCCTGGGGACGCATTCAGCAGGAGGCGGGTTCCAAGGCCTCAGAGGGCAGCAGGCGGGAGCAGGCGGGTGCTCCAGGGCGGCCTCCGCGGAGCCATGCACAGCAATGCCGGGGAGGGAGGGGGCAGGCTGGGGCGGGGAGATGGCACAGCACCGGGCCTCAGAGCCCAGGAGGGAGATGACAGCGCATGGCCCCCCTTTCCAAGCGGCCCTTCTCAGGGGAGAGGCAGCGGGGGGACAGCTCAGCCCCCAACCCAGGGCAGGGTCGCCCCCCAGAGCAGCCAACCGAGCAGATCTTACTGCCCAAGACAATACTGACAGGCCCCTCAACCAGCTGGCACCCCCACAGGGCCAGCTCAGCCGCAGGTCTCTTAGGATGGCAAGCTGGCCCTGTCCCGCCCACAGCGCCCACTTTGTTCCCAGCGTCTGAGCGTATGGACAAACTGTCATTCTTCGGCCATTCAAGAAAGAAAAGGGCCGCAACCCAAAGCTGCGTGTGGTCCCCAGGCTCCCGGGGGAAGAGGGCCTGGCCGGGGTTCGCTGGCTGCACGCACACGCCGGGTCCAGGCTCCTGGGGAGCCACAGTCCCCAGACACGCCCGCCACAGCAGGCTGGGGCCAGGGTCCCTACACCACAGTATTGAGGGGGCTGCGGCTATGGCGGCCGCCGGCGGGCAGTGCCTCCACGGCCGAGTCGCTCCCACTGGGGGTGGAGTCAGGTGGCACGAGGAGGGCGCTGCTGCTGTCCACCGAGTCTTCCAGGTCTGTCAGTGATGTCCCCGGGGGCAGGGGCTGCTCCAGGAGCTGGGGCGCAGCCCCGTCCCCACTGCCATCCCCCGCGGGGGGCGGCCTGACCTCAGCTGGCTCGAAGGCATCGTCATCTGCAGGAGGAGGCAGAGGGGCGTCAGCAGAGGTGGGGAGTGCCGGCATGCTGGCCTGCAGAGCTTGCTGGCGGCTCACCACGGGGCTCCACTGCCTGCTGGGGCAGCTGTGAGTGGACACACCTGACACCTGAGTATCCCACCCCAAGAAGAGGGCAGAGGGTGGGGATGGACCCTCTCACACCGGCAGCACCCAGGCTGGGGCAGGGGGGCTGCTGCAACACAGGCCCCAGGCCCTGTGCTACCCGCCTTGGGGAGCATCAGCCCAAGGTCCCTGGAGGTGGCCGCCACCTGTTCCCAGAGACATCCCTAGCAGGATGCTCGAGCTCACTCAGGCTGGAACACCTAAGCCTCCAGGGCGGGGCCAAACCCAAGTCCCTTCTCCCCTCCCCGCCCCCGCGGCCTCCCCCATCCAGGTGTGTGTGACCCAGTGAAAGGGGACAGGTCAGCTGCGCAGCTTCCCTGGGGGCGCCCGCCTGCATCTGTGCTTCAGAGCCAGGCTCCAGTGGCAATACGCAAGCAGGAACCCCGAGTCCCCAGCCGCTGCTGGGCCTGCCCGCAGCAGGGGGTCCCATCCCAGGCTCTGGCACACCACCGCACCTGCGGGGTCGTAGAAGACGCTGTCTGGGTTGATGGAGGCCTCGTAGGGTGGCGGAGGGTCATCAGGCTGACCAAGATCCGGGTACTTGTAGGCGGTGTAGGGAGGCGGAGGATCGTGGAAGTGGAAAGTGCCACCTTCACCATCGTCAGAGAGGTGGAGTGGCGTGAGGCCTGTGCCAAATCCGTCTGGCCCATAGTCAAAGCCGGGGATCCTGCGGCCCAGGTTGAAGTGGTGCACTGCGGGCAGAGAGAGCGGGTCACTCCCAGCTGCTCAGCCCTCAGCTCCCCCGCTCAGCTTGAGCGCACGGCTGAGTGGCCAGCCCACAATGGCCTGGGCCTGCAGTTCTGGGGAGAGGCTTGTGGGTCAGTGAGTGGACGGGGCAGTGACGGGAGCCGAGCAGACCTGCCCCTTCCACCTTCCTGCCACCTTGATCCTGTGCCACATGGTCCTGCATGGACATGGGGTTCCCTACCCGAGCTCGGACAGGGGAGATTTCAGCAACTCGACTGGGGACATGGGCGTGGCAGAGGGGCCTTCTGCTGAGCCTGG